TGTTACAGATCAGTCCAGCAAAGTTAACTGACCAAGACAGAACATTAAGTGAGTTTTCTCAAACCTGTCTCACTTCCTACTATGGAGAATGAAGTGCTGTTTCATTTCTACAACTGCAATGTGAAATATCAATGTATTTGCAAAAACTCTCAAAATTTAAGGTAATGGGCTGGGCGTGGTATGCATGGCTGTAATCCCAGCACTGTTGAGACTGAGGCAGGAGGACTGCTGCAACTTCAAGACCAGCCTGGACTAGGGCCGGGGGTTTAGCTCAGCGGTGCCACCGCCTGCCTTGCAAGCAAAAGGTCCCGAGTTCAAGCCCCAGTGGCCCCCCTACAAAAAAAGAAAAAGACCACCCTGGACTACATAGTGAGTTCAACGCCAACCCGAACTATATAGCAATACCCTGTCTCAAAAAACAAACAAACCACACACAAACACACACACAAACACACACACACACACACACACTCACACGGTAACTGTATTTCTTATGACCTGTTTCTATAGCAGGGCATGATGGTGCACACCTGTAATCCCAGCCCTTTGGAAGGCTGAGGCAGAAGGATCACAAGATTGAATCCAGCGTGGGCAACTCAACAACTTAGCTAGACTCTGTGTCAAAATAAAAAAATACAGTGAGTAGGGATATAAGGGATATAGCTCAGTGCAAAGGCGCTGGGTTTAGTCCTCAGTACTTAAAAAAAAAAAGCAGAACACATTTTTTTCACTAGTACAATGTGCTCAAAGTTAATGCAAGGTGTCAGGGAAGACAAAATCTACACCAAATGTTGCTGGTAATCTAATCCTTAAATCTTCCGGGTTGAATTGCCAGTGACTAGTAACAGACTAGCTGCTAATCTTCATCAGGGTTGTCATTATCTGAGCCCCGGTACAGCAGTCCAGGCTATAAGATTAGGGATATTTTAAGGACAGTATTTCCATAAAATAAAGCTATCACCATTTTTCAGCATCTGTGTCATTTCTATTTAAGAAGCAGTAAGTGAGATATCTTTTGATTAATCATCTCTTTTGCACCTCCAACAGGAAGGTGGGGACCATTACCCACATTTTACAGAATGCAGAGGCTTTGGAGATAAAAGGAGCCCTGAGCATGTCCGGGGCCTATGAAGGTACAGGACGTGTACCTGACAAAAAATCACATTCATGGCACAAAATTCTGCAGCAAAGAATAATAAACCTCATTTTAGAAGTACTACTTTGTGTGTGTGTGTGTGTGTGTGTGTGCAGCTGGGGAACCCAGGGCCTAGCACATGCCAGGCAAGTACTCCATCACTGAACTACACCCTTAGCCCCAAATCCCTTTTTCGTTCCCTTTGTACTAGGGATTGAACTTTGCACTATACTACATTCCCAGTTCTTTTTAAATTCTGAAACAGGATTCTGCCATCACTAAGTTGCCCAGTTTGCAATGCTCCTGCCTCAGCCTCCCAGGGTGCTGAAATTACAGACGTGCACCACTGTGCCTAGCTCCAAGTCCTACTTTTTTTTTTTTGGTACCGGAGACTGAACTCGGGACCTTGAGCTTGTGAGGCAGGTGGCAGAACCACTGAGCTAAATCCCTGGCCCCAAGTCCTACATTTTTAACTGCTCAGCATACAAAACATCTAGAGACTTACAAGGACCACCATGAGGTATTAAGGGTCCTCAAACGCAGGAGTGGTCCTCAGGCTTTATTTGCACAAATGCCTTCTAATCAGTCCACTGAAGACTTTGGGGATTGGAAACTTTCATTTGCTGATGCTGTTTGCTCAGAGATTTTATACACTCCATGACTTTAGAAGTAAACCTCTTCCTAAAAAAAATAAAAAATAAAAATAAAATAGAAGTAAACCTCTTCCTTATATAAAACTCAGGGCCAGGGATGTAGCTCAGTGGTTCCAGGGGACCCCTCGCAAGTGCAGGGACCTAAGTTCAATTCCCGGTACCAAAAAAACCACACCCACTATATTAATATATGTATATATACATAAATACATATATATACATATATATATAACTCTACCTTATTATGCCTCTCAAGTCTCACTGCATTTCAGTCATTCAGCAAATATCCGCTGAGCATCTACTATTCTCTAGGCACCACACGCCTCCCCTCTAACAATACAACACTGGAAGCTTTTCACAGGATTCTGCACAATGTAGGTGATCAATGAATAGCCAGAATAAACCTGACTCTCAGGAGTCTAGGTATGAAGGTTATTTACAGGGAGACCTTGAGCAAGACACTGCAACAGTGACTCATAACTGGGCCAGCAAGCAAAGAGGACTCATGAGCAAAGGTGGCCAACACCAGCTGGATGTGGTGGCGCACACCTGTAGTCCCAGCACTGGGGAGGTTGAGGCAGGAGAATCATTGAGAGTTCAAGGCCACCCTGGGTTACATAGTGAGTTCAAGGCTGGCATGGACTATATAGCAAACCCGTCTCAAAAAACTAAACAAATAAACAAAAAAGTGGCTAAGACTGTATAGCACCTTTCAATCCCTGAACTGCACTAACTGACACAGCTTCGGAAACACAGGGAAACCTACTCTGAGTTTACATGTAAAGGTCCCAGAAAGGACTCCCAAGTTCTTTAGCTATAAAGAAGGCTCTGTTGAGCTGCCACAGAGCCCCAGCTGAGCTTCCAGCTGAGGGCATCAGGAACTGCTCACTCATGTAGTTCTGAAGAAAAAGCCAAGACAAACTGACTACTCACCCCAATCACCTCATGTCAAAAAAGTGCAAGTTTGGGCTGGGGATTTAGCTCAGAGGTTCCGGCACCTGCCTTCCATGCACAAGGTCCTGAGTTCGAGCCCCGGTACCCCCCCCCCCACACACACAAAAAAAGTGCAAGTACGGGGATTTAGCTCAGTGGCACAGCCGCCTGCCTCCAAGTGCACGGTCCCGAGTTTGATCCCAGGTACCAAAAATAAGTGCAAATAACCAAAGACAAAACTTCTCAGAACATTGTTTTTCTTTAAATCTAACTTTAGTATATGTGCTACCTAAGTGAGCACAAAAAAACCTAAGAACATTATTACCAGTATCAGATCTGAATTTTAAAAAATTTTTTCATTTTTTTTTCCCCCTGTACTGGGAATCAAACTCAGGACCTTGTGCTTGCTAGGCAAGCGCGGCGCCACTGAACTATATCCGTCACCCTCGGTTTGTTTTTGTGAGACAAGGTCTTCCTATGTAGTTCAGGCTGGATGCTGGCCTCCAACTCATACTGATTTTCCTGCCTCAGCCTCCAGAGTGCTGGGATAACAGGTGTGTACCACTACCCCAGCAACTTTTAAAAAACTTTAACTCTGAAATAATTACAGATTGACAGCTGCATAAGATTTACAGGAAGGTTCTACGAACCCTCTGGTCATTCTCGAACCCTCTGGTCATTCTCTTTAACTGACTACCCTTTCCCCAACTGGTAGGTGGGAGTTGGCAGTTCTGTCCTGAAGGTACATGGTACTCACTGTACACTTCCCAGGAACCCTGTGCTCAGTACTCATCCACAACGACTTCTGGGTAGCGTGGTCATCACAAGTGTAGCTGCTGCTAAGCTCATTTCCATTCATTTGACAAATACTTACTGAGCACAAACTATGTACCAGCAACTCTTTCTTGAAAAAACAATCTCCCCAAGGACCTTACCTCCGAGAAAAATGTTAAATATAAGTATTAAACAGGACATTAGCAGGATTAACAGCTGTGAGTGGAAACTAAGCAAGGAAGAAAGACATGAAATAGAAGGTGGAGAGTTGAAATTATAAGTAGTCGTGGAATGCCTTAGAGAGCCATGAGGGGTATGGAACAGAGCATTCCAGCCAGACCCAAGGACCCAGCATATCAGTTTGTTCAGAGATCAACAAGAAGACTACTGGAGTGGGGACAAAGTGAATCAGAGGGCTCAGACCCTGCAGGGTCTGATAGGCCATCCCCTGCAACAAGGGTCTGCATCCAGGGGTCACACCAGCTCCACACTAGTCGACAGTCACACAGTCTGACAGCCAGAGCCACTGAGTCCTATGGCAGTGACACAGGGAAAAGAAGCTGTGGACATATTAAAGTTAGAAAACTCCCAAATCCTTAAATTGTGACTTCTAATTTCACCTCCCATTTGACAGATCACTCAATCCTTATACTCAGCAGGACTTTTTTATTTTTTTTAAAGAGAGCAAAGCAAATAAATGAAAATTATCTTGGAGTAAGCAGAATTTTGCTTTCAAACAATAGAGCAATATAACCATTTTCACCATTCAAATAGGTTTCACTGAAACAAATTACTAAAGACAAAAGCTCTAACAATTCAGACACAGTACCTATTAGGCTATGACCAGCTGGTTAGCACATCTGAAGAGTAGCCCAAATCCCTCCCACCAAGTTCAAATCCGAAATCAAAGCTGAAACTTCTGCTTTCTTTCCCCCTAAGACACAACTGGATGAATTCTAAGGACCCATCCCAAAGAAAAATGGAAAGAGTCCTTAACCTGGCCACTTAACACGACATATTAAGAGCCAGAACGGATGAATTCCTGACGCTACGTAAGAGTACGATACAAAGCGCTCGTTAAAATGTCGTAAAGCAGATAAAACAATTTTTTACAACCCGAATGCTTTTGAAATTTACATCTAAAAGACGGCGCGTTTAGAGCCAGTTTTTAACTACCACAGTTGTGAATATGACCTGAGGACTCAATTACCCGGCTCCTTAAAACAGGGGTTCTGGCCTCCTGGGCCCAGCAGGGTCGGGCGTGCGCGTGGACCCGGCTGGCCCGGAAAGCCCCGGCGCTGCGCTGCACCACCCCGCCCCGCCCCGCCCCGCCCGGCACCAGGCCGAGCCAGGTCTCGCGCGGCCCAGGGCCTGGACGACCGACCTCAGCCCCGCGCCCTCACCGCCCACCGCCAGTTCACCCGCCGCCGAGGGTCGCCGCCATTTCCGGCTGCGGACGGCCGGACTCGCGGCCCTCAGCCCTCGGCCGCCCGCCGCCAGCTCACCTGTCCGCCTGCCGCCTGCCGCCGGCTCCGCGGCTCCGCTCCCTTCCCGCGGCGCTGCTGGCGGCCAGCCGACGCGCTCCTCAGGCTGGGTATTCCGGTAGGCGGGGGCAGCACCACAGGGCGCGGGACCAGCAGCGGCGGCGGCGGCGGCAGCAGAGAAGCGCACGCTCACGCACGCACCCGCACCGACGCGCGCGCCCCGGAAGGACGTGAGCTCGGGCGGGCCGGAGCGGAGAACGGGGCCGCCTGCGCATGCGCCCGGCGCGCCCTACGGACGCCCCGCCCGCCAAGGAACGGAGCCTCGAGTGACCGCGGGAGCTGGAAGGCCCAAAGCCAGCCTGCAGTGACTCCGCCCCCGTATGGGCGGGCCCGACTAACCAGGAGGCGGTGCTCCTGGAGATGGGCGGGGTTCGCCGACAAGGGCCCAGAACGGCCCTCCACCATCAAGGGCGGGGCCAACACGAGGAGGCGGAGCCAGCCCTGGAGACCCCAGCGGGCCTCAGGTGGCTGCTGAACCCGGAAGGCCGTTAGGCGCCGCGCTGGGGCGACCGGAAGGAGCGGTGCGGGATTGTCTTGCAGGTGTTTGCTCAGCGCTTTACCCGATGGAAAAAATGTAGTTGTCCTTATCAAAGAACTTGTGAGGAGAGCTGGTGGGGAGAGCGGGGAGACCTCACACCTTGTCAGAGCTGCTAGGTGAGGCAGAGCCCAGAGGGGCCCTTTTTCCTTCCTTCCCGTCCTGTCACTGAAACGGCACCGCCCGTGCCCAGCCGGCCCCCGGAATCCCCGCACACAGCAGCCTGCAGAGGCGCAGTAGGAGCCTGGACTCCCCCTTCCCCTGTGCCGGTAAAGCCTTGTTCATGCCGTCGACCCGCAGGTACTGCAAACCTGACTACTCTTCCCTGTCCCTGGTTGTAGCTGTGCGACCGTTTCTCCAGTGTTACCCGTGTTCCACTCAGGCCCGCTTTGAATCCTACAGCGAAACAGACGACCTCTGTAGCCAGGGCTCCGGCTGCTGCACTCTCCCCTTTGCCCACTTTTCCATCAGCAGTCACTTGTTGCTGTTGGGGGGGGGGGGGGGGGGGGGGGGGGGGGGGGGGGGGGGGGGGGGGGGGGGGGGGGGGGGGGGGGGGGGGGGGGGGGGGGGGGGGGGGCGTGCGTCTGTTTCTTTGTTTTTGAGCCAGGGTCTCTCTAGGTAGCACAGGTGGCCTACAACTGAACATCCTTCTGCCTCAGCCTCCCAAGTGCTGGGACTGCAGATGGGAGCCACCACAACCGACTTACCAGTCACCTTTTAAAAACATAAACCAGCGGGGCCAGGGCTTTAGCTCAGTGGTTCCAGCGCCTGCCTCGCAAGCGCAAGGTCCTGAGTTCGATCCCCGGTACCGAAAAAAAAAAAAAAAAAAGAAAAAGAAAAACATAAAGCAGCCAGGCTTGGTGGTGCCCACCTGTAACCTCAGCCCTGGGAGGCTGAGGCAGGTGGATCACAAATTTAAACCCAGCCTGGGCAATTTAGCCAACTAAGCGACAGCCTGTCTCAAAAAATAAAACAAGACCTGGGGATGTAACTCAGCAAAGGGCCTAGGTGTAGTCCCCGTATATAAAGCAAATGACAGCAAAGGTTTCCATGACAAGAGTAAAATCCAGTCTCTTTCCCAACAGGTTTTGCCCCACCCCACTTCTGCCTTAAGCCATCTTTCTGGTCTTGAACTGCCATTATTACAATGTTTGTAAACAAGCCAACCTCTTAGGAGAAAATAAAACAAGCAAATTGGTACTGGGGCTTAGAGGTACAGTGTTTCCCTAGCAGGCATGAACCTGAGTTTGATCCCCATCACCACAAAAACAGGAAGATGCCTGTCAAGGCTTGGCAGTTGTTAGTTTTAGAGTATCACATTTACCTCTGATGTGTTTTAAGCCCTTTACCTGAATGAAGACAGATACACCATCCTCATTTTGAGGCTTCAGGTGTGGCTGCTCCTCCTGTGCTAGCCCCTTCAGGTGTGCCTCACCTCACTTGCTCATCTGAAAAGCTCTCAAAGCATCTCACCATACCTTCTTACACAAGTCAGACTTACTGAAGGGAACATCTCATCTTCTCCAACAAGTAGAACCACAGTCTTTGAGGGCTGGGTCCACATCAGACTCGAATCCCACAAGGCCTATCAAACCCTACCCAGACAACATTTTAAAGTATTTGCTTAATTAAAGACGGGAGCTGGCTGTGGTGGTGCCCGCAATCCCAGCACTAGAGGTTGAGGCAGGATTGCCACAAGTTCAAGGACAGCCTAGGCTACACAGGGAAACCTTGTCTCAAACAAAAAAAGACTGCGTGGAACCCACCTTCAGAGTAAATTAGGACAAATACTGGCTGTAGGTGGCAATAGTGCTTTCTACCTTTTGCTATTATTACCCGCTCAGTTGTGTTGAGATGTCACATGATTCAAGGTCACTGAACTTCCCCTGCTGATTTATTGGGGCCAAACCCCACTACCTCTGACACCTTTACCCCAGGTCTGATGTTCTCACTTAAGTGGCTTCACAATGGGGCCTGCCAAGGTGGCAGAGTGACATGCACACCAGTAGGGGTAGCCCAGGATGGAAGTTCTCCCCCAGAGGTCCTTATAGGTGCTGCAGGGAGCAATGCAGAGAATATCATTAGGAAGAAAAAGCAGTTGTCTTACTTTTCTTGTTGCTAAGGTCAAATACCTGAAACCCAAAGTTAAAGGAGGAAAGGTTTATTGTGGCTCAATTTGTAGAGGTTTTAGTCCATAGGCATCTGGCTCCAAGGGAAGGTGGCGTGGCAGAGAAGAAACAGTCAATGGCAAAGCAAGGCAGGCAGGAGGCAGCCAAGCAGCAACTGGCGGCAGCATTGAGCCTGCCTGCTTTTGTATTTCATCCAGCCTGCTCACTCTTTGGGCAATGCCTCCCACACCCAGGGTGAGGCACCCTTAATCTCAGCATCACCCCCCAGATCTAGCCAGCTCTGAAAAGCCTCACCTATGAATACATGAGGCTTTGGGGGGACATCCAGGTATTTGCAACAAGGGTCCACATCATGTGACCTTTTTTTTTTTTTAGTAGGAAAGGGGAATGAGAAAACATATTTCTGTGATATCACATGAAGAAACACCAGGAGAATGCACAACATGAGTCACTGCAGTGAGCAGGAAGTGGAAGCCCATTTCCAAGTACTCTTGTGTATCACTTTGACTTTCAAACCCTGTGAATAAACCATCTTAAAACATGTAACCTCCAAGGACTCTGGGCATCATTCTGGGGACCCTGCCCAGTCATACACACGCCTGCCCACCCCCATTTAACAACCCTGAGAGGCAAGCCAGCACACAGCAGCCAGAACTACATCCTTCCCATGACAGCTGATGGGACCCCCAGTTCTGGCCCAGACTGGTTGTTGCCCCTGCTCTCTGGACCGCTCTCATGTGAGGGCCTGGCTCCCCACCCACCCATGCCATCTCAGCACTTCTGCCTTGAGGCACCCCCAAACTTGCCTTGTTCATTTATAGATCTTTGGGGCTTGAGTTACTCACCATTTTTATATCAAATAGTCTCATCTATAGAACAAAATCATACCTTCCAAGACCTGTTGTGAAGAGGGCATTTCACAGCCCTCTCCACAGCTCCCACAGTGCTGGCCTGAGGACCAGGATCCTCTTCTTTCCATTGCCCACTTCAGTCCGGTGAGCTCCTCGAAGTGCGGTGTGACCCAGCATCACAGTGAGGGTCAACAGCCTTCCCGAAGGCAGGGGTCTATACTACAATAGCGCAACTGTAACTGAGCTAGATGTTCCCAGCAGCAGGGAGTTCCCCGTAGTAGAATCAATCCTAACTAGTTGGGAAGTCCCTCAAATGCTGGATCAACCTGTAAGCAAGCAAGGTCCTCTAGGGCTCCGGGCAATCAGCTTCCACAGGGTTTCTTGAGATGCTGGCTCATTCCCTTTACCTTCACAGCATCGAAGATTTGTAGTTTGCAATTGTTCCTTGCTTGCCTCTCAAAAGGGTGTGGGCTTATGACAGCAAGGACTCATGTGCTGGTTTACTCACCACTTTTATCAATGTCCTAGAAGACAAGTCCAATAAGCATATGTGGATTTTTCTCCAAAGGAATGCTTTATTGACAAATTGCCCATTTATTCATTTTAGAAAGATACATCAATGACCATTCCTACACCCTGCTTTCTCATCACACCCCAATGGCAGTTAACCATAGAAAAAGGGCACCAAGTGCTGCGCACTTCCAACTTGCATCCTCATCATGTGTGCAGTCCTAAGGGTGTCCAAAGTGGCCATGGACCCTTGGTCATCAGAGGACACATTCTACCAGGCACAATGAGCAGCCCCTTCCGCTTAAGAGATGCTCATACATGCACACAGCTGCTCCTCCAGATCACGCCTCCAGACATGCAGGGCCCCGGCATGAGTGGCTACCAGGGTGTGGCAGCTTAAAAATGAAAAAGAAATCTTCATAGCTCCTGAGAAAAGGTGACAACAGAGTTCTGACTAATCCCAACACCGCCGCCCCCCAATATGACCTGCAGGCTGGTGCCACTTCTCCTCCATCCTATGTTGCCACTGGCCAGGGCCATGATGGCTGGGCCAGGCCGAGACCTATCAGCGCTATGCAAAAGCACATCTTGTTCAAAGGTGCTAAAAGCAGAGTCCAAAGGGTCCCTTGGTCTAGAGTAGAGGAACTGCCAGTCTTTGCCAGAATCAAGTTTTCCACACTGGAAAGTGCTAGTGAGATAAACACACTAATTGGCACAAGCAGGGTGCAACATGCGCCAGACGTAAAACTCTATACAACACTCAGAACCTAGTAAAGAACTCTCATTTTTATATATATAAAAAGATTATAAACAAAGCATAAGGCGATGTAAGGCTTGAATTTCAGCTTGAATCAAAGAATATTCTCTAATAATGAGGCTAAAGCTGCTTTGCCAAATTTTAATTTTTGAGAAGTCCACTGCATTTAAAAAATAGTAAATCTCCTTGTCAAAGCTAGGTCATTATTATAACAATTAGGTAGCTGCTGACAACATTTCCTTTCTGAGGTCTCAGAAAATGGACAGTTCTCTCATTTGGCATCTCCAGACAAAAACTGTAATCTGGCAGGGCATCCTCGGTGAGTACATGCTATCTGTGAGTTCGGGAAAGAGGAGGGGAGGCCAGAAAATGTTGCTTGTTTCATATTCCTCATGTGTCTCCTTCCCTCCAAGTTCTGGGAAGCTATCAAAATTTCCAAGAGGAGTATGAGCTTTGGCCTGTTACCCCTCCAGACCCTCCACCCTGTCCATTTCCTGTGGCCTTAGGAAGGACAGCACAGTGATCTGCTTCATCTATGCACTTTAGTGTAAAACATTTACATATAGGATTGTTCTCTAACTCTTGCAAAGGCAGCAGTCACATCTGCACGTGGACAGACATGACTGTCCCCAAACCCAACTGTTCACTCGTCCCAGCTGGTGGCTCCATTGCGCAGAGTTGCAGTTGTGATGATGAAGGTGTGCTTGCTCATGTTCCATGGCTTGATGACACTATCACAGGCTTAGAAAGGCGCATGACCTGGCAGGGGCTGGTCAGCACTCCCCGCTGGGGAGGGGAGGCTGTCACTGCCATTCTCTCTGCCACCCACAACCTTAGACTACAGAAGGAAAAAGATCAAGAAAGCAAAACCTGAGACAAAGGACATGCAAGGTAAGCCCTAGCCCCAGTTCAACTCTACATAACTTATGTAACACAAAAACTACGCAGCAGGCTGAGGTAGGATTCCAAGTTCTAGCCCAGCCCAGACAACTTAGCAAGACCATTTCAAAATATAAAAAAGGGCTACTTAGTATGGAGGACTAGGATTCAATCTAGTGGGGGTAGGGGAGAGAAGAAAAGGACAGGGAGAGGAAGAGGAGTTAGTTCAGCAAGAAACAAAGAAATGAATCACTCACTGACAGGCAAAAGCCTGCCTGGATGGGTCCCCAGGGAATTATGCAGCATGGTGAGAAAGCTAATCCCAAAAGGCTATATACTTCTGGGCATGGTGGCACACACCTGTAATCTCAGCACTGTGGAGGGAGGCTGAGGCAGGAGGATTGCTGTGAGTTCAAGGCTAGTCTGGGCTACATAGTTGAGTTCAAGGCCAACCTGAACTACACAGCAAGACTCTGTCTCAAAAACCAAAAATAGGGCTGGGGATTTAGCTCAGTGGTTCCGCTGCCTGCCTGGCAAGCACAAGGTCCCAAGTTCGAGCCCCGCTACCAAAAAACCCAAAACAAAACAAAAAAAAGCTATATACTCTATGTCCACTTATGTGACATTCTTTTTTTTTTTTTTTTTTTTTTTGGGAGGGGGACCGGGGCTCGAACTCTGGTCCTTACGCTTTCAAGGAAGGTGGCTAAACCACTGAGCTAAATCCCCAGCCCTGTGACATTCTTGAGGTATCAAAATTCTAGAGACAGAGAAAAGATTAGTGGTTGGCAAGACAGGGCCAGAGAAGGTTAATGTGGCTGTAAGAGGCACAGAGCAATTCTGGTGGGTATGGATTTTCTCTATCCTTGTGCCCTGGATAGGAGACCATAGCTCTACAAGATGTCATCACTGGAACAAACCCCATACAAGATGCAAGAAACCTCTGAATATCCTCTCACAATGTGTTGAGTCTACCATAAGCAGAGGGTGACGTGACAGGTGACACCCATCAAGAGGACTGTCCAGGAACAATTACCTTTATGGTCCCCACACGATCTTCAAACGACTTGAAGGTGGCAGAGTTCCTTTAAAGAGAAAGGGGAGAGGTGCTGGTGTGAAGAGCAACCTCAGTGATGCCCTCTTCAGTCTGAAGGGCTTCAAAGCTAGGCTCCCGTCAGTGGAGCCCTGATAGCATCTTGAACTCTTGCTGCAAAAATGTGAACCACCATTTTTGGGTGGGGTAGCCCACAAGGAGCCCAGACAGCACTGGCCAACTCCCCAGGCCAGAACCGACACCTGCCAACTGAGCCAGGCTCAGATGTCACACAGAGGCACTGCAAACCCTGAGTGCTTGGCACATTCCTGCCACACTTTAAATGGACACCCTTGGAACCCAGCAAGGTGACACATACCTATAATCCCAGCACCCCAGAGGCTGAGGCAGAAGAATCTCTAGTTCAAAGTTACCATGGGTTACAAAGTCCACATCTCACCTCCCCCCACCAAAGACACGCCTGGGTCTTCTGCACCGAGGCTATGAGAAGTTCTGGAGTCTTTCACTCACATCTCTCATAGAAGCCACACAAAAGAAACAGAACAGTAGAACAGTTCTGGAAGAGCATAGGGCAAGGTGGCAGAGGAGAAAATAGGCAGGTTCCCATCCCATGGCATCACACAGCCAGATCTCCAAGACTCCCCTGATGAACCAGGAATGGTGGTGCGCGCCTATAATCCCAACAGTTGGGAGGCTGAGGCAGGAAGATCGCCACAAGTTCAAGAGCAGACTCTACTACATAGCAAGACCCTGTCTCAAAAAACCCACCTCCCTTGATAAGAATGGGCTGTGCTGGCCCATGCTGTCTGACCAAGCAGGTGAGGCCTCCAGAGAGGCCTCCTGCAGAGGTTCCATCTATATGCCAGCCTCACCACCCTTTGCCTACTGACCCTGCAAGGACCCAGGGCCAGAACCTGGGAATTTCAGTATAGAGCCCAGTCTAGCAGAATGGACTCCTCTAGAGCAGAGGTCCCAAACCCCTGGGCCTGACAAACCAGTGCCAGGCCAGTCTGTGGCCTGTTAGGAACTGGGTCGCACAGCAGGAAGTGTGTGGCAGGCAGGCAGGCAGGTGGGCGGGTGGGTGAAGCTTCATGTGTATTTACAGCTGTTCTCTGGTCCCTGGTGCCAAAAAGGTTGGGGACTGCTGCTCTAGAGGTCTCAGGATGGGAGCCTCAGTTCCACGAGTTCTTCCTCACCAGCCTAAAGGGGTCTTTCCCAGTCCCTGAAAGATGTCAGGGGTGTGGGGTCCTGCATTTGGGGATACAAGCAGCGCAAGACGTAACCGATGGGTGCAGCCCTACCCCCACCCAGAGACACGGCAGCTCTGGAGCGAGAGAGCAAGCATACTTTACCTCATGACTGGCATACTTATCGAGTGACGGATGGAGTAGCTGCTGCTTGGAAGCATGGTAGAAGCAGAGAAGGAAGCAAGTTAGCACAGGGCATCAGACTGGCAAGCACCTGCCAGCCTGGTTCACAGGTAAACCAACTTCACAGGGTGTTGGGAGCAATGCTACATAATTCTAGGAAAAATCATTTCAGTAGGCCTAGTTCTTCTGCCTACAGCCCAGCTAGGACATTCCAGACATAATTGCATTTTGGCCTCTGGTCACAACTGAGACCTGAGTGATCCGCCCCCCACCCCCACCCCCATGCTGCAATCTCCAGGACAAGACCACACCTATGGGAGACACCAGGGAGGAACCAAATCTTCATCTGCATAATTCCTCATTGTTCTTAGATTTCCACTGCTCCCTAGGTTTTTGTTACACCTTGTTTATCCCAATGTGAAGCACTGAACTCTATTTTTCACTTGTTACATCTGTTTCTCCCGATGTACTGAATAAAAGGTGCTGCAAGCTAGGGGGCTTTTGTCTTTGCTGCCCAGAGCAGCACTGAT